AGCAGCATTAATAAAGGCAATGATTTATAAATAAATAGCCATATAAAGCTAAAATGTTTTTGACATTGCTATCATTCACTTAAATTTAATAAAAATACTTAATTAACATATAATATAATATTATTTACTTTAAATTTTATTATTTAACAATAATTATATCATTATATTATAATAAATATAAAATATTTATATTATTTATATTTATTAATTCTATAATCAAATATTAATAATTTTTATCGAGCTTATTCACGAGTTCAAAATCGAACACAAATCGAGCTTAATGTTGAGCTTGTTCACGAACTTCAAATGATGTTGTTCGCGAACATAAATGATCCGAACATATTAGCGTTCAAGATTGTTTATTTAAAGATCGAGTATTTAAAATGTTGTTCAAATTAGTTTGATTAGTTAGTTAAACGATCACAAGAACCGAACATGGAGTAGCTCCTCGAACATGGTTCGCTTGACATAAATGATCCGAACACATTAGTGTTCAAGATTGTTTATTTAAAGATCGAGTATTTAAAATGTTGTTCAAATTAGTTTGATTAGTTAGTTAAACGATCACAAGAACCGAACATGGAGTAGCTCCTCGAACATGGTTCGCTTGCAGCCCTACAAGAAACTGCTAGTCGTTAGGGCTTGTGAAACAGACCAGGCCAATTCGCACAAGAGGCGTAGGGTTGGCTTCGTTCGCGGGAGCCCTCTTGGCCGTTCGATTACACGGGTGGTGGGGCTTTGAAGGAGGTCGACTAGGAATGTCGTGCCCATAGAGGTTGTGTTTGCTTGCGAATAGAAGGAGGCCACAGGCTGCTGTCGATTTGATCCATGCAAGATCAGAGGTTGGGTGGGACGGAGGCGGGCGATTATTATGATCTGGAGGTGAAATCCGTGCGTGGAAGGCGGCTTGGGTCGCAGAAGGGTTGGACAGAGGCAAGCCGACGTCAAATCAGGCACGGCAGAGACGGAAGGCTCGCTCGAGGCTCGGCTTCGCTCGCGGGTGTGGAAGGCGTAGTAGAGGGGATCGTAGCTTTTGCGATTGGCTTCGAATCGGAGGAGGAGAAGAATCGAGTCGTCTGAGCCGAAGCATTCGAAAAACCTTCACACCAGTAAGCATAACCTCTCCTCTTCATTCCCGTTTTACTGAAATATTAATTGGTCAATTGCAGAGAGTTTATAGTATTTACTTAGGAGCCGTTAATTATATAATTTTGACTGTCGAAAAGCCCGTTAATTATTCTTAGATATCTGACAATGCTGAATATTCGACAGTGCATTTTTATAGGGCTGGCTTGCAAAGATAGAAATGTCACTTGATGTGATGAAATAGCTCCTTGCAATTTTTTGAGCTGAACTTTCCACAGTAGTTATGCTTTGCATGCATTGCATCGAGAAATTTATGCACATATTTTACAAGAAAGATTTCATGTAAGCTTTCATGGAATTGGTCACATGATTGACAAGATAGTTGAACATTTTACAAATGCCAATGGATTTCTAATCCTTGAGATGCATCCGTGAAATGAGATATCTATCTTGAAAGATAGTTTGGATTATGCCGGGAATGAATTTGTTTATTAATTTTGAAGTTGCTAATATGAAAAAAAAATCATTTGATCTTAGCTTTTGAGCATTCAATATTATCTGATATTGAATTAGCTCTCATTAAGAATCAACTCTATTCTAAAAATTGAAGAGTTTGTTGCTCATTAAAAGACATCAAAAAGCATGATTGAACAGCTCCAAGGATTTCATTGCTAGTTTGAATTTTAGCAATTGTAGTTTGGTTGGTGGTAAGTACGGTTGGGAACCTCCAACTCGTGCTCGATTCCTGTCGAGCTGTAGCACCTCTTAAGTGGGACCCAATCAAGTGCAGGCCAGGAGGTTTCTGGAGTGGGTGCCTCTTCTAGGTCAGCCGAAGATTAGTCACGCCGCCAAACGCTCTTTCGGGGGTGACAGTGGGTGGATACCCCGTTTCAAAAAAAAAAAAAAAAAAAGTATACCATTGGTTTGGCTTCTCATTGTGTATGCAAAAGCATCACTTGAGTCAAGTCGTCAATAATATTCAATATATAATGGCAAATATTTTTATTAAACTTCACAAATTTATTACATTTCGTTGTTAAAGTCAATCCTTCATCCATGACATTGGCTTTTGTAAAGACAACTTATAAAATGCGAAGCTATTGAGTTGATAGAGATCATTTAGTGAAGTTATTGTTGTCGAATGATATTGAGATGAGGAATAAGGATCACCACGCAACTTGGCATAGTTGCCTAGCTATATATGTAAATGCCATATTTGTGATGCAAGACTCTAATAATTTTAATCATTGTAAATTGAATATCACATTCACCTAAATTGAAAGGTGTTCTTCATTGGCATTCAATAAAAAGATAAGCATTGAAATTTATTTCTAAATTATCATCAAGTGGAGATGTCAACTGAATATTAAAAGGAATCATTTGCTTGTTTGATTGACCTTTGATCTGTAATTCTTCTGCTCCAAAACTATTACTTTTGTTCTGACATTAAATTAGACGATTTAATAAACCATAAGCTGCCCTAAATAAAATTTAAATTATTTTTCCTACATCAACTTTACAATCAACTTTATAAAATGTTACAGCAGTCTCAAATAGACTCTAAATCTATTGTCTTAAATATGTTAAAAACTTAGCATTCAAGCAAAACTTTCATGGCTTCCAATTACAATCATTAATTTTTTATATTTTGATATTTAATATCTAAGTAAAATGGTGGCCTTCTAATGACCCGATTAGGAAAGTAGAGATATTAGATTTGACTTATGTTAAGAAAGGTAGTGGTAGCCTAAAAAGACTTGGTTATAAAATATTAAAAATGATATTTCTTTATTAGATTTAAATGAAAATTTGACTTTTAAGAGAATAGAATAGAAAAAAAAGATTCATGTAGCCGATCCCACGAAGTGGGACAAATGTTTGTTGTTGTTGTTGCTGTTACAGTATTTAATATCTCTTTTTTTTCTAATTCTTTATCTATTTTCATATCCAGCGATTTTTTGTTGGGTGGAGGATGACCAGATCACAATCACAAGAAAATTCTCTCAGACCATTTGTGAAACAAGATCTACCATAATCTCTCTTTGAAAAAAATTCACAACTTGGAAATTCTTATGTTCAAAAGAAATAGTTTTAGTCAGCGATATCATAGGAGAATTATGAGAAAATATCAACAACGAGGATAATATATTAGTCTCTGTAAAATAAAAATAAAAAGAGATCTCAGACAATTTTTCTTATTCTCACGAGATATAAATATATAATATCATATGAATAAATATCATATCTTGACAATATTTCATAATTATTTCACTCACAATAACACTTCCACCACCCTCCTATTCCTGCACTCCTACGTAAATGATATAATTTACCACAACAATCAACCAGTTAGGGCTCCGCCATTGCTCCCCCACCATCTCTTCCCTGTGAACCATCCATCCCCACCCTCCTCTCCACACTCTTATACGAATATCTCCTCGCCACAAACAAATACACACACAAGTTAACTCCATTAATCACAGCTAACAACCAGTAGAACAAATCCAACCTACTCTTGTTCAAATCCTTGGCAAACCAACTCCCAGTACCCATCTTCCTGGTCACATGATCAACTACAGTTATCAGAACACTGCTCAAAAAGCTTGCAGCCCCCATAGCACTGAGATAAAGCGCAATCCCCTGACTCCTCATGCTGTCCGGAATTTGATCGTAGAAATACTCCTGAAGCCCAACAATGGCGAACCCATCACCTAATCCTAATATCATGAACTGCGGCACCAACCAGAAGACGCTCATTGACAAGGTCGCAGCTTTCTCTGCTTCCGCCACCCACAGCCGCTTCTTCTCCACTATAGCCGCCGTTGCCATCGCCAAGATCGAGAAAGCAATCCCTATACCGATTCTCTGCAAAAGACTAATGCCCCGCTCGTTGCCGGTGGCTCTTCGGAGGAATGGTACGAGCAACTTCTCGTAGAAACTTACTGAAATGATCATCGCCACAGCGCCGAGGGCGTAGACAGAGGCGGGTGGAATTTCGAACCCGGCTGCGAGCTTTCTGTTCATTGTGCTGGCTTGTTTGATGAAAAAGGTCGAAGTTTGGGTAACGCATATGCCGAAGGGAACGGAGGTGAGCCAGATGGGGATCATGGAAAACACCAGCTTCAGTTCTTCCACCTGCGTTACAGTGGCGAGCCGCCTTGAGCTCTGTTGGTCCTTTCCAACAATGGCTGCTTTGTCTAAAAATCGGAACTTGTCCGTGTGGCGGAGGAACTTGTCGGAGTTTGGAATCTCGTAGAGTTGGTCGGCGGTGGGAGGAAGAGGAAGGTGTCTGTTCGAGACGGCGGTTGCGAAGGTCTGAAACAGAGGAGCGAGGGGGCTGCCTCGTGGGACGCGGAAACGATAAAAGGGGCGGCCGAGGAGGAATATAAAGAGGCTGAGAAGCATGATGAAGGTGAGGGTAATGACAGCAAGGCCATAGCCGAGCGTGTCTTCTACATAGACGATTAAAGTGACGCCGAGAAGGAGGCCGCAGCAGAGACCGAGGTTCCACCAGTTAAAAAATGAGAGTTTTTGGCGGTGCTCTGTGGGATGGTCATCGTCAAATTGGTCGGCTCCGAAGCTCTCCAGGCTTGGCTTGTGGCCGCCGGTGCCGATGGAGATTAAGTATATGGCTGTGAAGAAGATCGTTTTGTGTAGTTTCATGGAGTTGTTGGGCTTGAGAGCGGGTACTAGTTGGGACATTGTGAGAACAGTGAGTCCCTGCAGCAATGGACAAGCCAAAGTAACAAATATCAGCAAATTATCAACTTTAACATGTTGGTAGTTCATTGGATTAATACTAGATTCGCTCTTAGTATTGTTGCAGAGTCGTTGTGATTCAGGTGTTGTAAGATTTAATGGAATGCAAGACAGTTTTTAAATTCTAAGATATTCTTTATATTTGTTTGGAATTTTTTTTTGAACGGGATATCCACCCGCTGTCACTCTCGAAAGGGCGCTTGGCGGCATGGCTAATATTCAGCTGACCTAGAAGAGGCACCCATCCCAAAAACCTCCTGACCTGCACTTGATTGGGCTCTACATAAGAGTCGCTGCCGCTCGAGGGGAATAGAGCATGGATTTGGAACTCCCAACCGTACTCACCCACCAACCAAGCTAAACAGCGGTTGGTTTGGATATATATTTTTTCATTCGCCCATTTGGATAGTTCTAAATTACTTTATAAGAAAACATTTTGTGTTGCATTTTAAAAATACATATCTTACCAGCTCTCTTATCCAATTATCTATGATATTTCAAGATAGATGAATTGAGAGAATTAAAACTAAAATAAAATAATTATTATCACTTTAAAATAAAAAAAGCTATTAAATAAACAAGTTATAAGACTTAAAATTCCGATTACATATAAATAAAAAAATAATGAATCCCTTAAAGCTCTAACAACAGTGAAAGGTTAGTGAATTTTTGCGTACCACAATATAGACGAGAGAAGAGAGCAGAACAGTAGCGAAGCGACCGAGATAAGCATCAGCCATAAATCCTCCTATGGGAGCCATAAGGGTTGTAACCCCCAGCCAACAGTTAACACTCTTTGCTGCTTCCTTCAGCTCATAGTGCAAGAACTTGGTCAAGTATATTATCAAGTTCACAGACAAACCAAAGTAGCTAAGCCTCTCACTGAACTCAATCGCTGCATCCATACACACATGATAATATATTAACTCTTCCTAATCAAGAAATTCATATTAAAATCAATTATAAATACCTATGATGAAGAGAGAAGCCTTCCAAACACCAGTAGAGGCTCTAAGAGGAGTTCTTCTCTTGTAGTCGATCGAAGAATCGTGGACCCATTTGTCCGCATTATCTCTTCTATTCTCCATATAGGGCAGAATAGTGTAGAGAGAGAAATAGTGGAGAATAACAGAGAAGAAGAGCTTTCAGTTGAGAGTTAGCGTCTGAGAGGTTCAGGACATCCATGGCTGCTTTTATAATATTCCTAAAAGGAGTGGCAAAATATCTTGCACTGTATTAGTACGTGGATTTCTCTATCATTTCTTCTAAATAAAAGCTAATGAAATAAAATAAAGTATGAACAGAGAAAGAGAGAGAACATATTACTGATCTAGGGTTCTTTATTTAAGATAACGTGAATCCAATCAAAGGAAATATGATTAGGATTCTCGGTCTTTTCACGGCGATTCTTTTTTCACAGAAAGACAACTGTGCCTCCCTATCCTAGCATCTCAGAAGAGAATAACATTGGACCACCTCGAACATAGAAAGCGAATGAAGACTTAGCTAAGTCCACAATTCACTTGTTTAAGGATTTGAGTTCACACGCGGCTCATTTTGGTCTGTTGGTTGGGGGCTTTGGCTACTAACCAAAATGTTTTAGGTTTGAGTCTTGAGTATGTGGTGTGCGTGTGTGAATTTGTCTTAATTGACTTAAATGTCTCTAAAAAATAAAGATTTGAGTTCACATTATTAATACTTGTAAATTACACATCAAAACAACTACGGTTATTCAACTCTCTTGATCGACTGGTTGAGAGCTTTCGTCATCAATTAAGAGTTTTTGGATTTGAGTCTTATATAGGTGATGTGTATGCGAGTTTAGCTTAATTCACCTAAATGCTCCTGAAAAAATAGTTATTTGTCGAATTTATAACAAAAAATAAATTTTACTCGTTTGATCATCATTGCTTTCAATTCAATACACTGATATTATTGCAACACTAATATGTAGTGATAATTCTAACCTAATAGCTATAGATTTTTTATGTCTAATAAATATATTGACATAAGAATAATATAAATATGAGTTTTATATATGGTTGTTTGTACACTACAAGAAAATCTTCTGTTACCGTCGGACTTTCTGGCGAATTTAAGTGCGTCGGTAAAAGCGGTGGACGAACTCGCGGATGTTTCGCCGGTACTTTACGGTGACATTTCCGGCATATTTTCCGCCGCTAATTTACCCTTGTTGTGCTTGGTTAGGCTATTTAATGGACGTAAGTCATGAGCTATTGTGACCTTCTAAAAGAAAATTGTGCATCATATCCATCGAGCAAGTTAATAACTACTTGTTTTCACATATTTGTTTTCTGCAAGCTTCCTTAAATGTGTATAAGAATAATGTTTTAAACAATTTCATAAATTATGTCTATAATTAATGAAGATTAAAAATTCATAATCAAATTTTTTTTTATTAGAAAAAAAAAACGTTCTTCATATGGATTAGTTCAAAAGTCGTAATAAGTGGCATCACAGATAAAAAAAAAAAACATAAAAACAATGGATAAAAATTCATTTATGCTTCGTTGGCCACTCTCTAGTTTTGGGTAAATTATTGCGTCCGGTTAGGGGTGTCAATTTCGGGTCACGGGTCGGGTTCGGGTCGGACCCAAAATTGACCCGGGTTCAAATGGGTCGACCCTAACCAAACCCGGTTAGGAAAATGGATCGGAAATGCGAACCCGGACCCCCGACCCGTTTTGAAATCGGGTCGGGTCCAACCCAGATTTTTCGGGTCGGTCCGGGTCGGGTTTTTGTGTCCTGTCAAATATTGACACCCCTACGTCCGGTGTCCGGATTCGTCCGGACACCAATCCAGACGCTCCAAGTCACCAAAATACACCGGGTCCTGATGTTTTTAGGTGACGTGGCACATCTGGATTGGTTGTCCGGACGTCAGGTGATCAGACGCAATAATTGGCCCTTGTTTTGGGTTCTCTATCGAATTAATCCATACAAATAGCTTTACGCAACAGTTTTGGGATAGTTCAATGCATAAATTGTCTAATCAATAAAAGCAAATTTGATCTATGGTACACAATATGGAAAATAAAATCTTATAATTTAAAATCATCTAAAAAATAATTTAGGAGAGTTAAAAATAGTAAATAAATATTTTCTTAGCTCTAATAAACTTTGAGGTCCTTTGATTCTTTTATTCATTAGAAAAAAATAAAAGTAATGCATTAGAACACTCTCATAATATGGCCTTATCCAATTGAAGGTTTTTTATTTGATAACACTTTAAATGAAATCAAAATTTTTAATATTTTTCATCCTTCGAAGCGGTACAATCCAAAATTCTTTCTCCCTATCATGAGGCCTTTTTGATGTCAGTAATAAATTACTTTGTCTTTGACAAAAAAATAAGGAGCGAAGAGCCTCATATTTTATTTATTTATCATAAGTCAAGAGGTTTTATTTACTATAACACTAAGAACTTCTATCTCATCATACATTTTTGATACTCAACTCAGTGCGTTGTGATCATATGAGTTCCTTTAATGATCTGAGTTATGATGCTCAAGAATAAGAATATCAATATTTATATTTTATTCTTATCCATGTATGCAGCTATCTTGATTACATTTTTAATAGTTAGGAATTTGTAAGGTTCATCTTTCTATAGAGTGCCCTCGTATTATGCTTTCTAATTCTATGATTTTAAGTAGGGATGTCAATTGTTGACATGATCCGAAATCCTATCCGAAAAATCTGGGTTCGGGTGGTTCGGGTTTAACAAACTGACATGTTTCAAAAAAACGGGTTAGTTTCGGGTTGACCTGGCAACCCAAAAATGACCCGAAAACCCTCTGTTCGTGTCTGCTTCCCGCATTGCCGAAGCATCGAGTGCCCAGCCTGCCAGGTTGAACCCGAGTTCTTGTGCTGTGGTTGCCGCCTGAAGCGTCGAGTCGCGTCCTGAAGCATCAAGTCGCGTCCTGAAGCGTCAAGTTGTGTGCATCCAAAAACATCAAGTCGCTTCATGTGCGCGGTGCGTCCCGAAGCGTCGAGTCGCGTCGCTGGCTCGCTGCGTCGCGTGCTATCGCTGTCGCTATGCCGCCGGGAGTAGCGACCGGAAATCCAGGCGTTTGAGATTTATTTCAAAAATTCGGGTTGAGTCGGTTCGTGTCAACCCGGACCCAACTCGCGTGGGTCGGGTCCGAGTTGAAAAAGACGATCCGTTTATAAAAAAATGGGTCTGGTTCAGGTTGACCCGTTTAGAGCCAGGTCAACTCTAGTTCGACCCGAACCCAATCCGCTAACCCACGTTGACACCCCTAATTCTAAGGCCTCCTTGGGAAGGAAGTATGTTGATTTTCTTTCAAGATTTTTCGATCATTCTCTCATGACTACATGTCTCCTTATTTAGAGTCAAAATTGCATCCGATGCATATTGCTTAGTTGAATTATATATATTTTATAGCCTCACGAACTTATTAATATTTCCCTTAGATTATATTCTAATTATTTGATCTCTATTTAATTCCTTGATATCCATCCTTTATAGTGAAAATTCTAGATCTTCAATCATTTTTAGGAATTTTTTTTCTCCTATATTGAACTAAAAAAAAAATGAGCATAATAACCGATTAAACTTGCACGAATCTTGATATCAGTTTGAGAAAAATTTTAGTATATATTTCTATTATGCATTCCAAAGGTTCTTAAGATGTGTTATTTTATCAATTTTCTTTCAAACTTGAACATCTCAACAACAGAACAAAAAATGCTGAGAATGCTTACTTTACTTTTCTCATCTGACGCAGTAATAAATGATGAACAATAGGGAGAGAGCACTGAGAAATGAGGTGAAGCCATTGAATCGAAAAACTGAAGGTCAAAAAGGCAGATAAAATAACACCATTGCTAGTGTGTATGCGTAGGTCCTTTATAGGTATGAATCGCATATACATTTAAAGTAATATTCCCTCATTAAGACATGTGAGTCATTCAGGTTTTGTTTGTGATGGATTTTTGTTCGCTTCTTAAAACAGTCTCAAATGAAGTCTAAGGCTTCGTTTGGGTCGGCTTTTTTTTCTGTTTCTTAAAGCAGCTTTTTAGTACAAAATGTTTGTCCTAAGAAGCAGCTTTAAGAAGCAATAAAAAAGCCGTCCCAAATGAAGCCTAAGATTTTATTTTGGACGACTTTTTTTAATGCTTCTTAAATAAGCTTTTTAATAAAAAGCTTAATTGGTTTTTTCTAAAAATATTTTAAGAAGCAATAAAAAAGATGTCTAAGGCTTCATTTGGGACTGCTTTTTAATTGCTTTCTAAAACGGAGTTTTAATAAATTTGTACTGAAATTCCGTTTTAGAAAGCAATAAAAAAGCCGTCCCAAACGAAGCCTAAAATTTCATTTGAGACAACTAATGATCATTATTTTTGCTACTTACAAAAATTGTAGTAAAAATTTACTATAAATAATAATGATAAAACTATCCCAAATGAATCCTAAGAGTAGTGGGTGTAGATAATAGACTATGATAAATTTTTTTTTTAAAAAATTATAATTTCTAAAAATTAAAATATAGGCGTGATAAAAAGAGATATTATTTATAATATATTCTATTCTAAAATCTCTGAACATGTAAAAGTGCCCGCGAAAAGGATGTTATAAGGACAGGAGAAGAGATTAGAGGGCTCAGCCCAGTGTTGGAAATCCGAAATCATCGTTTTAATTTTTTAAAAAATTTAAAATAGTTTTTTTTAGCCCAAGTAATTAAAACTTTCATAATTATGAACAAATTTCAAATAAATTATGCTTTTGGCCACCTAAAAAATAAATATTCAATATAGAAAAATAGCTGGTTTCCAAACATAAAATTTCTGCCTCAAATTCCGGCGGAAAATTCCCACCAAAAATTCCGGCAGAAAAAATTAATTTCCATGATAATATCCAATTAATTATTTTGATCTTTCGACAATAATAATATTTATTTTAAATTAATTATTATTTTAATATTCTATGAATTATAACTTAAATAAAAAAGAAACTCTAATAGACTACCTTTTGGCCGAGTGAATTAGCTTTAGATATCCTCCAGAAGGAGTGGGGTTCAAATCTTCACATAGTCATGGTAGCGAGTTGGCGGGCAGATGCGGGTTGGCCAGGCATCATTCGAACCAAGGGAAAAATGAGTTGCAATTTTTTTGGGCGAAATTTTTGCCGA